GAGAGAGGGAGGGAGAGAGACAGACACACCCTGTTTCTAAATTTAAAAAAAATAAAATTTAATTTAAAAAGACACTTAAAAAGGAAACTGTAATGACCAATTTCAAGAATTCAAGGATAATTTTTTAATATAACTTGCCATATTAACTGATCAAGGAAAGAAACCATATGATTATTTCAGTAGTTGCCAGAAGGATGTGATGTAATTCAACATTAATTCCTGATTTTCAAAACCATTATACACACACATATATAATCTTACACATATATATATGTGTGTGAAATTAAATCTGGTAATGTAGAAACATGAAATATTAAAACTGCATTGTGATTTTTAAGTATTTAAACTATTAGATACAGAGTAATATATACACATATAATGAACAAACATTAATATATGTACCAGCTAGAATTGATAAATGATTTACATTGGCTTCAGGTCTTGTTTTATATTAAGGAAAAAAAAAAAAAAAAGACTGGGCACCTGGGTACAATGGCTCATGCTTGTAATCCAAACACTTTGGGAGGCTGAGGCAGGAGGATCACTTAAGGCCAGGAGTTCGAGACCAGCCTGGGCAACATAGTGAGACCCCATCTCTACAAAAAGAAAACAAATTAGCCAGGCATGGTAGTCGTAGTTTCTCCAGAAACTGAAGTGGGAGGATCACTTAAGCCCAGAAATTGGAGGTTACAGTGAGTTACAATCATGCACTCCAGCTTGAATGACAGTGTAAAACCCTGTCTCTAAAAAAGAAAGCCCCCAGACTCTCATTTCTTCCCCTGAGGCAGCTTATCCTGAAACTAGTGTATGTCTCTCCCATCCACATTTATACACTTTTATTATATTAGTATGTGTTCATAAATAAAAGAATATTGTGTTTTTTTTTTTTAAACTAGGTATACCTAGTGGAATGGGAAAGTATTGTGTATTTTCAAAACGGTATCATCGTGTTTCCTTCTGAAACTTGTTTCTTTTCATTCAGTATTACTGTTGACATCTATCCTTATTGATACTTTCAAGTTTATTTCTTTTGCTTATGGTATTCTATTAATTAATTCACCACAAAGTATTTCTTCATTCTCCTATTTGTGGACATCTAGATTGTTTTCATTTTTCAGTAATGCAAACAGTGCCACTGTGGATATTTCTTACCCATTTCTCCTCTTCCACAATTACTGTTAATTTTCTTTTTTTTTTTTTTAGTTTTTTGAGACAGTGTCACACTGTCACTGGGGCTAGAGTGCAGAGGCGCAATCTTGGCTCACTGCACCCTCCACCTTCCAGGTTCAAGCAATTCTAATGCCTCAGCCTCTCGAGTAACTGGGATTATAGGTCCATGCCACCATGCCCAGCTAATTTTTGTATTTTTAGTAGAGATGGGGTTTCACTATGTTGGCCAGGCTGGTCTCAAACTCCTGACCTCGTGATCCGCCCGCCTCGGCCTCCCAAAGTGCTGGGATTACGGGCATGAGCCACCACCACGCCTGGCCAGTTACTGTTAATTTTCTAAAGGCTACTTTGGTCTATAATTTCTAAGTTCTAGGATGTCTATACACATGTAACTTGTCAACATTTTGCTTGCCTAAGTGCTTGTTATTTTGCTTTCTTGCTAGTAGTGTATAAAAGTACCCTTATTTCACATACTTGTCAATCCAGGGAGATGTCATTATTGCCAATTTAATGTATACAAATGGTTGAGCTTCTTAACTTGCTTATTAGTCATTCATATTTTATTTTCTTTGCATTGCCTTTCATTGTGTTTGTCCATTTTTATGTTGGAACAAAACAACATTTTCTCTGGTCCTTGGCTTCTCTTTACTTTGTTTTTGTGTCTATTATAGTCATATAAAGGCTTTAATTTTAAGCCACATAATCATTGTTTTTAGCCCCTTTATTATTTAAAATTGTTCTGAAAGTGCTGATAATACTCAATTAGAAAATACAGTGGAAGAAAATATCCCATTTAAATAGTAATCAAAAATCTGTAGGAAAATTTTAAAGAAGTAAGCAGTACTTATTTGAAGAAAACTACACAAGTCTATTCAGAGACATATATGAAGATTGAATAAATGAAGAGTCATAACATGTTCCTGGGTATGACTTGCCATACTGGATATTAAAACATTATAAGAATGTTTTAATTAACACAGTGCAGTACTAGTACAGGAATAGATAAAACAATGGAACAGCGTAGAGTCCAGGTAAAAATTCGAGAATTTGTGGAATTTAATATGACAAAGAAGGCATTTCTTGGAACAAAATGATTAACATTTGGAAAACATAAAGCTGGACAGCCTATAAGGCCAAATAAATCCCAAAAAGGTCAGAGATTTTAAATGTATGAAAATACAACTACAGAAAGGGTAAATATTACAGTACTGGGGTGGGGAAGGCTTTTGCCTCAAAACTCAGAAACTTGACCACATATTTCAAATTCTGAATGGCAAAAAGTGATAATAAAAATTAAACTGAACAAAGTTTAAATGCAATGATCAGACTAAGAAAAACTTCTAAGAATATGTAACACAAAAAATTAGTGATCTTAAATAAGGAAAAATACCACACATAGACAAATTGGCAAATATACGTTTAGGCAATTCTAAAAGAAAACACAAACCGTATTCTCTGATACAATTGGTAAAGAGCCTGAGAGGGAGGTTCTTGATAAAGTATGATTCGTAAATGGGTGACAGACGATTTAGGAGATGGTGAGAGAGCAAGATGATAATTTGTGCGAAGGCTACGTTGGTCTTTGATTTAGTCATCATTATTGAAGAGTTTGTACTCATATACACTTCACTCTATTTCAACTTTGTTTTTAATAGCAAAGAACCCATATGCCTGCCCTCCAGAAGGAGATGGTTTAAGTAAATTCTGGCATGTACTTTTAGTGAATGTTAAATGCAGCCATAAATGATGTTGTAGTTGGCATGGAAAGTTATTATTGGGTGAGAAGAACAGGTTCCAAATGGCAAGTATTTGTAGTATTGTAAACATACATGTAGAAAGATGTTTCCAAAAGTCTTAATGATGTTTAATCTCTGGTAGTGAGATTTGGATCCGTTTTCTTAAAATTAACATTTAACATTTTAGCCAGAATAACAATGCTGTTTGCAGAAACAAAAGGAAGTCACCTATAATCTCACCCATAGAGAGATCATCACTGTTAGTTTACTTTCTGCATTTTTGTCTGTCTTCAAAATTAGACTCATGCTGTATAAAGTTTTATATCCTGAGGTTTTGTTGTTTTTTTTTTTGAGACAGAGTCTCAAAACATAAAATCTGTCACCCAGGCTGGAGTGCAGTGGCACGATCTCAGTTCACTGCAACCTCTGTCTCCCGGGTTCAAGTGATTCTCCTGCCTCAGCCTGCCAAGTAGCTGGGATTACAGGCACGCACTACTACACCCAGCTGATATTTTTTGTGTTTGTAGTAGACATGGGGTTTCACCATGTTGGTCAGGCTGGTCTCAAACTCCTCATCTCAGGTGATCCGCCCACCTTGGCCTCCCAAAGTGCTGGGATTACAGACATGAGCCACTGCACCCGGCCGTCCTGAATTTTTGTGTAGGATTAGATGGTGAACATTTTTTCCATTGTGTAGTTTTGTTTTTATTATGAACTACTTCAGACATACAGAACAGTTATATGAAAAATAATAAGATGATAATGAGCATATCCACTTTGCAGCTCTAATAAATCTTAACATTTTGTTATACTTCCTTTGGGTGTTTTTATAATTTTTTATTTCTTCAGATATATATTTAAGTCCCTACGTGCTACTCCCAGTCTCAGTCCCCTTTCTTTCTCCAGTTACTCATTTTTTCAACATTAAAAATACTTAGAGGTTAAAATTTTTTTAAACACAAATTTACGTTTAACACTTTAGGAATTACTATGTAGAGATCCTTTTAGATCATTGCAAATAATTACCCATTTATTTTCTTTTCTGCAGTACTGGGCCTGTCTAATCCAATCCTGGGTGGAAACAAAAGAGAATACAAAGGAACCAAATCTTATACCATCTGCATGGTTTCATATGACTGTTTAAAAGTCTGTTCTGTATAATTTAAGAAAATAAGGAGGATAGTACATCTAAATTGAGACGTAGTTATTTCTTTTTAAGTTATTTAATATTGCTTTAGTGGAATTAAAGACTTAAATCCTGGTAAATGTCACAATTTTTAGACATTCTAAAATAAAAATGGGTAATCGTAATAATTAGAAGAATTAAATAGAAACATAAAATCTGTGTGACAAAGTATATCTTTTTGAGTCAAGATAAATGTATTTATTTTTCATAGGACATTAAAGGACTTGGTAAAAAGAGAAAGATGTATTCTGAAGATAAACCTTTATCATCTGAGTCCTTGTCAGAATCAGAGTATATTGAGGAGGTAAGTATATGATCAAATCCATTTTCTCTTTACTTTAAAATGCTTAGTTATTGATTTCATCAATAAGAATTAGTAAAAAGAAATTTCATATTTATTCACCTTTCTAGTATGAAAACAAGTTATTTCATCTTGGAATAAGTTTTCCTTTTTTCCAGAAGACAATTAGCTATTAGTTTTGATAATTAACCATATTTTCACATACCTTTCCAATCTGAGATATTTTATTTTTAGTCTTCTAATATTTTCTTTCTATTATACTACCATTCTTATTACATGAAAGAAGTTGTGTAACATACAGCATGTTGAAACCCAACATTCTCCTACATTGTTAAAACAAAACATTGCATATACTATCTTAGTTTAATTGATATTATTTAGCTTTGTTTTGCGCTACTTTTTGGGGAGTTGAAAAGTGATGAGGTGGGGAAGAAATGTTAGAAGGAAACCTATCATATTACTTTATTGTGAGAACTAAATGAGCTGATAAATTACGAAAGGCATTGCATCATACCTGGAACCGAGAGTAAATGGTAGCTAAAGTTTGCATAATTCTTGGTGTTACAATAAAAAAAAAAAAAGCCATGGTTGCCCTAGAATCATTTATTTTTAAAACTGTAGCTTTCTTTAGCGATCAACATATTTAAACCCCAGTAGTATATTCTAAAAAAGTTGAGGATCTGAACCTTGCTTACAAGGGGTGGCAACAGATTGCAACAAGAGCTGTTTTTCATGATTGCTTAGTCTTTTCCGTATTAGCCTCCTCCTACATCGATCCTGCCCAGCTGTATCTCTGTCTACTGTATTCCTCATCTCCCCATTCCCTAAGTCTTGCCTTTTTGTTTGTTTCTGCCTCTCTCCTTTCTGATTTCATTGTTCTTGGTCTACAACAGTGGCACTCAGTCCTGTAAGACCAATTGCCTCCATTTTATAGCAGTGTCTTATAATTGCCCCTGAAATGAAATATGTTGCTAATGTTGAGGCAAGAAGATTGCTTGAACCCTGGAGTTTGAGGCTATAGTGCACTATGATCTCACCTGTGAATAGCTACTGCACTCTAGCCCAGGCGACATAGCAAGACCCCATCTCTATAAAAACAATAATGATGATGTGTAATTTTATGAAATTGTACTTCAATGTAAATGCTTGAATGTGATAACACCAGGCTGGGTGCGTTGACTCACACCTGTAATCCCAGCACTTTGGGAGGCTGAGGTGGGTGGATCACCTGAGGTCAGGAGTTCCAGACCAGCCTGACCAACATGGTGAAACCCCATCTCTACTGAAAAAAAAAACAAACAAACAACACAAAAAATTAGCCAGGCATGGTGGCAGGTGCCTGTAATCCCAGCTACTCAGGAGGCTGAGGCAGGAAAATCACTTGAACCCAGGAGGCAGAGGTTGCAGTAAGCCAAGATCATGCCATTACACTCTAGCCTGGGCAACAAGAGCGAAACTCCATCTCAAAAAATAAATAAATAAATAAATGTCATAACACCAGAAAACAAACAAAACAAAAACACCAGAAGAAAAAACAAAATGCAGGCTCTAGCAGGTATATAACATATGCCCTTTAAAAACCATACAGTGGCATTACGTTGTATCTTAAAATCCTGCACAAGAGACTGAATACAGTGGCTCTCTTGTGATACCTATAATCTCAGCAATTTGGGAGACTATTGCAGGAGAATGAGTTCAAGCCAGGAGTTCATGACTAGACTGGGCAACATACTGAGATGCTATCTCTTAAAAAAAAAAAAATTATTTTTTTAAATTTAGTTTCTGGGCCAGGAGTGGTGGCTCACACCTGTAATCCCAATACTTTAGGAGGCACAGGTAGATGGATCACCTGAGGTCAGGAGTTCAAGACCAGCCTGACCAACATGGCAAAACCCCATCTTTACTAAAAATACAAAAATTAGCTGGGCATGATGGCACATACCTGTAATCCCAGCTACCCGGGAGGCTGAGGCAGGAGAATCGCTTGAACCAAGGAGTTGGAGGTTGCAGTGAGCCGAGATTGCACCACTGCACTCTAGCCTGGGTAACAGAGTGAGACTATCAAAAAAAAAAAATGTTTAGTTTCTGTATTACAAACAGATTAATCACATGAATGTTTAGCAGGCTGTTAAAAAGTCATGGAGGATATACAGGGCTGTTCAGGACATGGTTTGACAGCATCCCTCATCTCTGCTTGGCTAAACATGAATGCAGTACATCTACTGTCACCCTTCGTCATTGTACTAACAAGAATAACAATAAAAATAATTGTTTCTTAGGTGCTCCATAAAGAGAGCTAGTGAGCTAATGACCTGTATTGTGAGCTTATAATCTCTAATCCTTATGTGTTGTATTTTTTTAGTCCTTATGCTTCCTTTTATTATTCATTGCATTTTTGTTATTGACGTATATTTAATATTGTAGTCAGTAAAACCACACAATTCAACGTTAGGCAATTTTATAAATATTGCTTTCTATGTAATATATTACTATTGTATTACGTTTCTCTGCTGCATGATAGCAAGTTTAATATGAAATAGCTTACATTTGGACTTGACATGAAATATTCATAAGCTTTGGCAACTTTCAGTTTATTTATTCTTATTTTTTTAGAGGCAGGTTCTTGCTCTGTTGCCCAGGCTGGAGTGCAACAGTGCAATCATAGATCACTGCACCCTGGAACTCCTGGGCTCAAGTGATTTTCCACCTCAGCCTCCCAAGTAGCTAGGACTACAGTCATGTGCCACCACACCACACTAATTTTTAACAGAAATTTTTTTGTAGAGGTGGAGTTATCTAGGTTACCCAGGCTGGTCTTGAATTCCTGGCCTCAGGTTACCACACTGGCCTATCAAAGCTCTGGGATCACAGGCACGAACCACTACTCCCAGCCTCAGTTTAATTTAAATCCAGTGTACCACACTCAAAAAGATTGAAATAAAATATAAATGGGATGATAATTATTAATTAGAAGAATTTTAATCTGTTGGCTTATACTAACTACACTGAATATAGAGCTACCATTTGTTGAGCACCATAGAGTGAGAGAAATACCTGCTATATTTCAGGCACTTCCCCTTGAAGGTGAATATTATCTCCATTTTACAGATGTTGAGAGTGAGATAAGATTCAGACTTTGGAATTTGTCTCATTTCAGAGCTGATGTTTTATTTGTATGTTTTGAGACAAGGCCTCACTCTGTCACCCAGGCTGGAGTGCCGTGGTGCAAACAAGGGGTCTTACCATGTTCCTCAGGCTTGCCTTGAACTCCTAGGCTGAAACTAGCCTCCCAACTTGGCCTCCCAAAGTGGTGAGATTACAAGCGAGAGCCACCACACTTAGTCTGGAGCTCATGTTTTTTTCCACTGTACCGCATTTTTTTAGGTGCTGAAAGGGAATATAAGAGAAGGTATCTAGAGATTTCACATCTTTATTGTCCTTTCTTTATGTGTTTTTTATTGAAACCTCATTGAGATATAACAGGAGTTATTTTAAATGTTCTGTGATTGTCAAAATGTTTTTTACATTTACATTTTGAAGATGCAAGATAAAGATTGAAATAAAAATGCCTTGAGTACAAATTACATGTTTGTCTTCTGTTCTCCACAAAAATTTGAACTTTTTAGGTACGAGCCAAAAAGAAGAAAAGCAGTGAAGAACGAGAAAAAGCAACAGCAAGTATCTCTTAACGTTTTTACAGACGATAGTATAGGTGTTTTGGTTTAATATAAAATGGGTCATGGTAAAGCTTGATTGGATTTACTGGGAACATCTAAGTATTTGTTGCAAAAGGTGTGGTGTTCAGCAGCTTCACTTAATTGGTAGGAGAAAGTTAAAATGGTTCAGGCAAAATAAAGAATACCCTGGTAGCAAGCATGTCCTGTTTTCACCTCAGTATTTTACTGTTAGAAATATAAGCTCAGGCCAGGCATGGTGGATCACAAGGTCAGGAGTTCAAGACCAGCTTGGCCAAGATGGTGAAACCCCATCTCTACCAAAAAAAAAAAAATTATATATATATATATATATATATATACACGCACATTGGCTAGGTGTAGAGGAAAAGAGAAAAAATCAATTAGTTTAAAAAAAAAAAAAAAAAATTAGCCGGGCGTGGTAGCAGGTACCTGTAATCCCAGCTACGCAGGAAGCTAAGGCAGGAGAATCGCTTGAACCCAGGTGACAGAGGTTGCAGTGAGCAGAGATCGTGCTACTGCGCTCCAGCCTGGGCAACAGAGCAAGACTCTCTCAAAAAAAAAAAAGAAATATAAGCTTAAATGCTGTTTGACTTTCTTAAGCTATAGTATGAAATATAAGAGATCAAAGTATGGTGATTTACTTTATCTTTGATAGTAGTTACTTCCAAAACAGCCAAATCTGGTAATAACAGAAAAAGCCTCTCCAAGCACTAGCTACAATGAAAAAATAAGCAAGAATACAACAATATAAATGACTCATTAATAAAGTTGATTCTTTTGATAGCTTTGAAAGCCAACCTCTGCTATTAATGCAAATCGAGAAGAAAGAGAAAAAAGAGGCAAATTAAGGAAAAAAGAAGTAGTATCCAAGCAAGAAGCAGATCAAGAGAAAATGGTTAACAGATATTATTTTCAAAGAGTAATTGCAAATACAATATCAGCAAAGTAATTTAGGGGGCCCTCAGTGTAAATGTGAGGTATGACCTTTGAAGGCATTTTCTTGGGGAAAGGTGAAAGAAAAATGAAAGCTTCATCATTTGTATCTTTGAGTAACCCCTTCCCTGAATTTCCCTGACTCTAAAAATGAGGTGCCTTCTCTGATAGGAAGGCTTACCTAGTAATGTATGATTCAGGAATAACGTTTTATATGCTCCAAGCCCACTATGACAAATAAGTTTTTTGTTTCTTTGTTTTTTGTTTTTTCTGAGTGTTTAAGTAATTTGGGTGAAGACAGCTGTGGTCTGTGGTTTGGATTAATTAAGATATAACCAAATTAGTATTTGCATACTTTCACTGTTTCATGCTTTCAGCTAGTGTGTATATATGAAACGTCTCTATGTAGGCAGTTTTCTAAATCTTTGAATATAGTGGAGTACAAGATAGAAGAGTATGACACGTGAGAGAGAGATTGTGGGGAGGAGCTCATGAAATCCTCTCTGAGGAAGCAAAAATAAGCTGAAATCTGATTTACAAGAAAAAGCCAACCATATGAAGATCAAAGGAAAGAATATCCTAGGGAGAGAGAAGAGCTTTTTAAGGACCTATAGTGAGAATAAGTTTGATATATTTAAAGGACTGAGAGAATGTAAGTGGTATAAGCCTGGTGAGGAAAGAGGAATACCATACGATGAGGGTAGGAAATGAGCAGAGGCCTGCTTACATCACACAGCAGAGTACATTTTGTCAGAATGTTAGAAGAAGCTGTTTTGAGAGTTTTAAACAAAGAGGTGACCTAAATATTTTCCATTTTGTAAATGCTTTGGTAGAGGAAATAAGTGGGCACAAATGAGGAATGATATTTGTACTGCAGTGATAGTAATGGAGTTGGACTGGCAAGGATAGATTTGAGATATATTTTCTACTTAAATGGTTAAGATTTGCCTGGTTTGGATGTGGACAGTCGAGTTAAAACAAAGAGCAGAATCAAAGATAGCCTAGATTCTTTGACTTAAGCAAAATGACAGATTAGTGGTGCCAGTTACTAAGATGGCTGAGGATTTGGAGAGAAAAATGAAGCCTTTTGTTGTGGAAATTTCAGATATGCCTACTAGACATCCCAAGTAGAGCTGTTAACGAGGCACTTACAGTCCTGAGGTCAAAGTGTAGGACTGCATATAAAGATTGGGTATCATTGGTATAAAGCATGTTACTGGGAGAGTGTGTGGAAAACAAGGGAAGGAAGCCCCAGAAAAGCCAAGCAGAGGAACAAGAGTCAACAAAGTACAGGAAAAGGTCTTTGTAATAGAAGAAAACCAACAGAGAGGTGTAATGGAAGCTAAGAAGAAAATAATTTTTAGAACAGAGTGGTCAGCTGTCCTTTTATGAAAAAGCAGCCTATACCCAAAACTTAGTTTTAAAAGCCCAAATTACAAGATTTTGGACTCTGTAAAGTTTCCTATGTACTTTAAACATGTAGTGAAAAAAGAATGATGAAAATTAGCTTAGTGCCACAGAGTGATAGAGGCCTTTGAGAGAGGGGAGAGTGAACAGTGCTGATAAATAGGAAATGGATAGGAAGCTCTGCTGTTGACGTCCTTATAGGTCTCTTCTCCTTTCTTGCTTTTCATTTTTTTTTGAATGTCAATAGACTAGCAGCAATCTCTCATTTGATACTATCTTTCCAAGTATCTATGTTTCTAAAAGTTCTGCCTTCTGTTACAGAAATAGGAGAGTCAGACTTCAACAAAACTCCAGCCCTCTTTTATCCACTCATAGTTTAACTACTTTTACCAGGCTTTAGTGGCATTTTGTTCTAAAAATCAGACATCTATTTTGCTTAGCAAAATAGACTTTTTAACTATACATTGATAATTTGTACTAATTAGTTGATTTTAATATAATAATTTAATTTAATAATTAATGATAACTTCAAGTAGTGCTGCCAGTCTGAGCAGTATGCAATACCTGTAGCACATTTAATATTTCTGTTCTATCTAAAACTATTTTATAAAAACAATTATGTTTTTCTGTGATTACTCCTTTCTAGTAACTGCAATTGCTTTACCTTTAGAAGTTATATAGCATAAAATATAGTGATTGGGAGCATGATTCAGTTGATTCTTTCCTACAGGAAATTTTGTTAGAAATTACGTTAATGTGCTAATGACTTAAGGGTTTCTCCGTATCTTTTTGAAAATCAACAAGAACTCTTTTAGTCCTCATATGATACTGGTTGTTGAGACTTTTCAAGAAATGTTTTGAGTAGTTTACTTGGTTGTGTGGATTGTTTGGAATAATTATGTGGTAGCTTAGAAGAAGCATGGTAAAGATGCTTTTAATTTGCATATATGTATATAGTAGTGTCTAACCTGGAATTATCTTTACAGGAAAAAACAAAAAAGAAAAAGAAGCATAAGAAACACAGTAAGAAGAAGAAAAAGAAGGCTGCTAGTTCAAGTCCTGACTCACCATAACATTAAGAAAAACCAGGATTCTCTTATAAAGAAAGTGCAATGTCTGAGGAGATTTCAACTGTGAAACCTACAACATATTTACTAAAATGCATGAATTTTCTTGTTTTTAGAATTATTCCTGACTGTTCAGTAGCCACTCAGATGCCACTGTGTGGAAGGGCCATACATGTTGCCTGCTGCTTGAACATCTATTTCTTTCAGTGCTTGATAACTCTGGGAGATAATACACTGCAGTCGTACTAGTGGTTAAGATATTTGGGAATAAAATTAATACTCTTGACTAGAAGTGTCTAAGGATAAAGCAACAGAAATTGAATCTGGATACACCTTTAAGATGTAATCAGAAATGACCAGATGACTCTAGTTAAAATTTTTGAAGGAGGGATTACATTAATATTTCAGAACCCTTACTCTGTAGATAAGTATATTTTAGTTTTTTTCCCCTCGTATAATTTTATTTACCTGGGGAAGGAGCATTTAGGGTTGAGGGGGGTGGTTTGCTATCTCTTTAACTAGCAGAGTAGTGTGCCTTTGATCTTCACACATCCTGTATTGTGGACACAGTAGCCATGCTTCACTGGGAGGTCAGAGCTGGCTACCAGCAGTCTTGCCCTTTACTGAGCTTAATGTCATCCTTGGATGCTGTCATATGCTGCTTTGAGTGAACCAGAGAAACAGCCATTTGCAGCATGAGAAAGCCCCAAAAGCTCTGGGATTTACCTCCACTTCAATAATAATGAATATTTTTTAGCATTAGAATGTGTTATGTCATTTGAATTAATTTTGATTATACTTTGGCTTGGGAGAGGAATTATTTTAAATAGACACTGGTACTTTTTGAACTTGATAGCTAAAGATTCTAAAATGCATGTTTTATACTAAGTTTTAACCAGTCAGGAAAATTTTATGTAACCAGTGATAGTTTATTTTTTGTATGAATTTTGTTTAGGCTGCAATATTTAGCTTTTGTTAACTCCTCACTCTTGCTGTCTTAAGTTCATTACTATGCTTAATGGCCTACTTGCCAAGATATTTAGCATGTAAAAAGCAGGGTTTTGATTTAAAAAAAAAAAAAAAAAAAGCTTCATATTGAAGCTGAGACTTACCTTACCATAAACAAGTTGAGTGGCAAGCCTGGTATGCTGTGTCTTATTGCCAGAATCTTAGTAAATGTAACGTTTTAAAAGTTTGTTGTCTTTGTATATTAATAACAAGTTATGACAAGTTGAATTTAAATAAGAGTTACATTATTGCTCTTCCTGTGTCATATTTTACTAAGATTTTGTGCCTCATATCTACTGCTGAATTGTTTACTAGGAATGTTAAACGGAATTGATAATTCATTTTCATTTTTGTATAATCAGGTAACATGAAATACAACTTGATGTACAATTTTGCCTATTACAAAAGGCGTGCTAATTATAGTGGCATATGCACAGAACATGTTGGCATGACAACAGGCTGAATAAATAGCTATTTTACTTAAAAATAGCAGTGTTCTTATCAGCTCCCTTTGGACTGCAAGTAGACTTATAAAGATAAGAAACACTCCTAGATGTTAAGTTGTAGATAGGTAAGACATATCCCTAAATTTTTAGCTGTAAAAAAAAATTTCTTGGTTTCTTTAAATTTTATACTCAAAGCTACATACTATTTGCTAATAAAAGATATCTATATGCTTTTGAATACTCAGAAAATTTGAGGGACATTTTATATCCAGAAGAAAGTTTTCTAGAATTGTTCATGAAAATGCCAGAAGATAAATTTATCAGGTCATATGTTCATCACTTTTGTTATGACACAGAAGTATAAGTTTACAGACTAGTCCTAGTATATGATGATTATATCCCACTAGAAGCAACAGTTTATTTTATTATATTGGAGAAGAAAGTGATTTGGCAAAAAACTACTCTTTTCAGACTGTTAACTGTCTGGGCAACACTTTTTTTCTAGTCCTATGATGGTAGCCTTAACAGTCTCCTCACAGGTATGGAAAGAAAAGAATATTTGACAGAGTAATTTTTTAATTTTTATTTCGTTTTTGTTTGTTTGTTTTGGTGATAGGGTCTCACTCTGTTTCCTGAGCTGGAGTGCAGTGGACGATTTCAGCTCACTGCACTCCAGCCCACTGCAGCCTCAACCTCCCAGGCTCAAGTGATCCTCCCACCTCTGTCTCCCAAGTAGCTGGGACTTCAGGCGCATACCACCACAGCTGTCTAATTTTTTTTATTTTTTTGAGACGGAATCTTGCTCTTGTTACCCAGGCTGGAGTGCAATGGCTCAGTCTTGGCTCACTGCAACTTCCACCTCCTGGGTTCAAGCAATTCTCCTGCCTCAGCCTCCTGAGTAGCTGGGGTTACAGGCATGCGCCACCACGCCTGGCCAATTTTTGTGTTTTTAGTAGAGTTGGGGTTTCTCCATGTTGGTCACGTTGGTCTCGAACTCTTGACCTCCCGTGATACGCCCACCTCGGCCTCGGAGTGCTGGGATTACAGGCGTGAGCCACCGTACCAGGCCAATTTTTTCTATTTTTTGTAGAGCTGGGGTTCCACCATGTTGGCTAGGCTAGTCCCAAACTCCTGGGCTCAAGTAATCCATCCCTCTCTGCCTCCCAAAGTGCTAGGATTACAGGTGTGAGCTACCGTGCCCAGCTGACAGAATAATATTATCAGTTATGTTTATTCTAGAGTTGCTACCCTGTGCAAATTACTAACATCTCTTCCTCCCTTCCAAACTACCCTTTTTCTTGACAAACTTTACACCAATTTTTTACAAATACAAGGTATGTTACTAGGATAATGGTACTAGAATAACCCATAAATTGGTGGATGTCCAGATAGAAAAATGGGCTTTATACTTGTGCTACCTCTTTGTAATTGTTTGGATTCCTTTGGCTGCCTGTAGTATATATATATATATGTGTTTTAAATACCATTAGAGTGTCCTGAATTTATTTTAATTAGCATACAGATTTACATTCCTTCGGTCAAGATGTATTAAAAACTTATTGCTTAATTTTCTGACATTTCATAGAGAATCATAGACAAGACTTGGAAACCAAGTGAGAAAAGTTATTCTTAAAACTTAAGTGACAGGTTTCACACTGTTTAAAAAATTGCCACTTTTTAACTTAAAATCTATGAATACTCATTTTGTTACTTGCTTAAGAAAAGTTTTGGGAAACTTTATTTTCTCCCCAACTGTATTTAATCATAGGTCATTCCATTCTTGACTTCCTGGGCTCAAGCCAGCCTCCCACTTCAGTCTTCCCCGTAGCTGGAACCTTTGACAGGCATGCACCACCACACCCTGCTAATTTTTAAAAATTTTTGTAGAGATAGGGTCTCCCTATGTTGCCCAGGCTGGTCTTGAACTCCTGGGCTCAAGCAGTCTTCCCACTTCAGTTTCCCAAAATGCTTAGATTACAAGCATAAGCCACCATGCCCAGCCTTTACTGTATTTAAAATTTTTTTTTCTTTATTTTGCATGTTCCCCTCCCCCTGCCTCTTCCCTCCATATTTAAAATTTTCTTTTTATATTTTATTTAAAAGTTAGAATGTAGTGGCCTAAATTCTAAATTACATTTTCTAAATATAATTTCTACAATTCTAAATACATTTTCTTGCCTTACCACAGTGAAGGCCAGCAGACGTAGATGACATGTTTGTTCTCTCTACCAGGATTTACCAGTCGGTCCAATCAAAGTTGGAGGGGTAAAAGTGAGTTTTTACATTTTTCATTTTTCTAGAAGCTCCCAGATTGAAGCCTGTTTGGATATCATAAAAGGGTGGTTGGTTAGAGTTTAGAGGAAGTTGTAATCTTTGAAGGAGCTATTGATAGCCTGGGAAATTATTTCCACTTAAAGATTAAGGTTTTTATGGCCGGGCATGGTGGCTCATGCCTGTAATCCAAGCACTTTGGAGGCCAAGGCAGGCGGATCACCTGAGGTCAGGAGTTCAAGACCAGCCTGACCAACATGGTGAAACCCTGTCTTTTTTAAAAAAAAAAAAAAAAAAAAAAAGTAAGAAATGTGTCATATGTGCTTTATTCATTTATGAAAAAAAAAGAGATTAGGGTTTTTGTAGTCTTAGTTATAATGTGTTCAAATACGTTTTCAACTGTTTATGTTTTCAACTGTTGTGTTGGTGCTGAAGGAGTATAAATGATATCACATACTGCTTTAAGTGATGTTTAGCCCCAAAGAAAAGATAAATTTTGGAATTGTTATCAATTTTTTAATTACAATAGCTGGGTGTCGTGACTCCTGCCTGCAGTCGCAACTACTTGGGAGGCTGAAGTGGAGGATGGCTTGAGCCTGCCTGGGAAGTTGAAGCGGCAGTGAGCTATGATTGTGCCGCAACACTTCAGCCTGGGCAATGTGATACAGCAAGACCCTGCCTAAAAAATAAAAATAGGCCGGGCACTATGGCTCAGGCCTGTAATCCCAGTACTTAGGTAGGCTGGGGTGAGTGGATTCATTAAGCCCAGGAATTCGAGACCAGCCTGGGCAACATGGCAAAACCCCATCTCTACAAAAAATGCAAAACATAAGTCAGGTGTGGTGGTGCTTGCCTTTAATCCCATATACTAGGGAGGCAGAGGTGGGAGGATCACTAGAGCCCAGGAGGTGGAAGTTGCATTGAGCTCAGATGGCGCCACTGCACTGCATCCTAGGCAATGCAGAGGAAGACCCTGTCTCAAAAAGAAAATAATAAATTTTTAGATCACAGAAACTGTAATAAAATTACCATATTTGGCGTGGTAGCAACCATTATTGCATACTTTTTCTAGTTACTTGAGAATCTTCTGTGTCTGGTTGCTGGGATGTTGCCATGGTCACATTCCATGTTGGGATTGGAGTAGTGAACTGTGGAAGCTCAGGATGCCCAGGCATGAAGCTAGGCTATCTGGGAAGTCTGGTGTGTGTTAAAGCCATACTGGACATGGACCAAAAGGCTCTGAGGACACTGGTGGAATCCATCAGTGAAACCGTCAAGAGCTGTACCGGCCAGACTTCAGTGCTGCCTGAACATCTTGATTCGTAGAAATGTTTAAAAAGCAAAAAGATGAGGATATATTAGAAAGATACAGGAGCCAACCTGAAAACTCCCAATGGCCAAACCTGAGCAACTTGAGCAGCAAAGTAACACAGTATTGATAGGCATCTTAGTCTATTTGGGCTTCTGAACAAAATACCATAGTCCGGATGGTTTATAAGCAACAGGAATGTACTTACAGTTCTGGAGGCTGGGAAGCCCAAGGCTGAGACAGATTCACTGTCTGGTAAGGAAGGGCCTGCTTGCTTTCTGGCTCATGGATGGCACTTCCTTGCTGTGTCCTCACTGAAATGGAAGGGACTAGCTAGCTCTCTGGGGCCTCTTACTTTATAAGAACATGAGGCCTAACTGCCTCCCAAAGGCCACACCTCCTAATATAATTACCTTTGGGGATAAAATTTCAACATGAATTTGGTGGGGGCAGGGAGGGGCCCAAACAGAAGATAGCAGTATGTAACTCGTAGTATAAAACAAATATGACTTAATACTGACATAATAAATAATAATTATAAATAAATGGAAAAGAGAAAAATCTTTCTTACGGGAGAATTCTAAATAGTAGTGTAGATACCACTTTCCAGGAAGTAGAGCTTAATTCCCTTATGGAGTGACTAGCTTCAAATGGATGTTGTGGAAAGAGAAAAATAGTAACTACAGTGGAGAGAGCTGGCAGACTGTAGCTTAACCAAATGATAAAGTTTAACATCCATAGTGATACATCATGTTGAGATCATGTTTCTCTTTACATGTAACTAGAGCAGCACTTTACCTCTGTGGTATTATTCCCCAAAACACAATCACAGTCTAATCAAGAGAAAAACAGGCACACAGCCAGATGTGATGACAAGCACCTGTAATCCTAGCTACTGAGGAGGTTAAGGCAGGAGGATATCTTGAGCCCAGGAGTTCGAGGCTGCAATGAGCTCACACCACTGCCCTCCAGCCTGGGAAACATAGCAAGATTCCATCTCTTAAAAAAAAGAAAAAAATAATTTTATAAAACAGGTAAACTTAAAATGATGACCATTTCATTCTACAAACTAAATCCAAAAGTGTCGTATTCATGAAAAGCAAGGAAAGACTGAAAACTATCACAGGTTGGAGGAGGCATGACAACCGAATATGGTATCCCGGATTGAATTCCGGTATTAAAACAAAGGATGTTAGTGTAAAAACTGTGGAAATCCAATTAAAATCTATAGTTAACCAATGTAGCGTACCAATGTTAATACATTAGTTTTAACAAATGTACCATGGTTATATAAGACATTAGCATTAGGAAGAAACTAGGTGAAGAGTATATTGGAACTCTGTAATATCTTTGCATCTCTTAATCTAAAATTAGTCCAAACTACAATGGGTCAATTTCTAGTATCTCAACACCATCCTCATTAATGACCCATGGTTTTCTTTTTCTTTTTTAGACAGAGTCTCACTTTGTCACCCAGGCTGGACTGTAGTAGTGGCACAAACACAGCACACTGTACCCTCGACCTCCCTAACTCAAGCCATTGGGCCTGCAGGCATGTGCCACCACACTTGGCTAATTTTTTGTAGAGATGGGGTTTCATTATATTGCCCAGCTAGTCTCGAAATCCTGAGCTCAAGCAATCTGCCCACCTCATCCTGGGATTACATGGTAAGGCCACCATGCCTGGCTTTAAATGGTTTCTTGACCACATGTGCAAGGTATTTAGATATAATGAAATCTGAGATACACTGATAAAATTCAGGAGAGGTTAGCTTATTACTTGCTGAAGATTGTATCTAAAATATTTGATTGCTTTGTTGGATGACCCTCAGAGCAGCTTCTGACTTACTATTCCAACCTCCCTTTTCTCACACTTCCATTTTCACACCACTGTTGGTGCTAACATTTCCATTCAGATAATAACTTTCTATGAGTTGAGCAGGGTTGCTTTCATGCAAGCATTAATATACTATATATAATGCATCTAGACCTGAGCTTCCTTTTTCTTCATATTTCAAACAAGAAAAACATTCCAAGTTTTTGTCCTCAAAGCAGCTGCATTCGTCTTATGACGTAACCTTGAAAATCACCAAGCCTCATTTTCACTGTACTCTATTGGTTAAAGCAGTTACAAAAATCCTCCTAGTTTTAAAGAGAGAAGACATAGACCCCTATCTCTCTTAAGAGAGGAGTATCAAAGTCACATTGCACAAAGAGCATGTTCAATGGGATACATTGATATGATCATCTTTAGGAAAATACAGCCTCATCAGAATTCACCATTAATATGGTAGTTTCAAGATTCTACTGCCAGGTGCCCAGTAGTCTTTTATCCCTCACCCACCTCCCAGCACTTTGGGAAGCTCACCCCTGTAATCCTAGCACTTTGGGAGTCTGAGGCGGGTGGATCACTTTAGGTCAGGAGCTCAAGACCAGCCTGGACAACATGGTGAAGCCCCATCTCTACTAAAATTATAAAAATTAGCCAGGTATGGTGGCAGGCGCCTGTAATCCCAGCTACTCAGGAGACTGAGATAGGAGAATTGCTTGAATTCGGGAGGCAGAGGTTGCAGTGAGCTGAGATCATGCCACTGCCCTCCAGCCTGGGTGAAAGAGCGAGACTCTACCCAAAAAAAAAAAAAAATCTACTTCCAGCCTGTGCAGTGGCTCACACCTGTAATCCTAGCACTTTTGGAGGCCATGGCAGGACCCCAGTATTTTGAGACCAGCCTGGTCAACATAGTGAGACTTCATCTCTACTAAAAATTTAAAAGTTAATGGCTTTTGGATGGAGCAACTTGGGTGGAGCTGGAGGCTATTATTCAAAGTGCAGTAACTCAGGAATGGAGAACCAAATATCGCATGTTCTCATAAGTGGGAGCTAAGCTATCAGGATGCAAACACGTAAGAATGATACAATGGACTTTAGGGACTCTGTGGGAAGGGTGGGAGGTGGGTGAGGGATAAAAGACTACATACTGGGTACACTGTACACTGCCCAGGTGATGAATGCACCAAAATATCAGAAATCACCATTAAAGAATTTATTCATGTAACCAAAAACCGTATGTACCCCAAAAACTATTGAAATAAAAATTTTTAATTAAAATTAGCCAGACATGGTGGTGTACACCTGTAGTCCCAGCTACTCAAGAGGCTGAGGCAGGAGGATCCCTTGAGCCCAGGAGTTCAAGACTGCAGTGGGCTATGATTTCACTGCTGCACTCCAGCCTGGGAGACAGAAAGAGACCCTGTCTCTTAAAAAAAAAAAAAGATTACATTTTATGCTTTTAGAGACTGAAGGAATCTCAGAGATCACTAAGTGTTACAGGTGATGGCAGTGAGACAAAAAGAAGCTGTCTGACTTGTGTAAGTCCCTCAGCTATTTAGGATAAGAAATGGAAGTGGAACCCAGGGGCTTATTAAGTCTCGGATCCCCAGCCCACAAAGTCTCACCCATTGGTTCTCAGTCCTGACAGTGCATGAGATGCTTGTGTGCTTCTTCAAAATAGCATTTTATTAAGGCTGGAGTGAGAACCAGGTATGTGCATATTTAAAAATTTCCATTTGAACACTGCAGATCTGATCAGTCACAAAGACTGACTGAGTTTCTGTAGCATCTCAGGCTCCCTCCTTAGCTTTCTGTCTTTATTTCCACCTCTCTATCCCAAACACTATCCCTCCAAGCCTGGCTTCCATGTTTCCAGCTTTCTTACTTCAATGCAGCTTCACCAGATGGATTTTCCTAAACCACTTTTACTGTTATGCCCCTCTCCTGTTCCAAAATTTTCAGTGGCTTAACCCAAAGATTCTCAACTCCTGGGGCATAGAAGCTGAGCTCTTGTTCAAAAGCTAATTCCAGGGCTTGCTGTTAACAATTCTGGTTTAGCAGATCTAGAGCAAGTTCTGGGAAACTGCAAGCATGGGGCAGTGGAAGGGGATTAATTCTCATACAAATGGTCCAAAAATGATACCGTAAGAACCACTGCTCCTGTACAATAAAAAATGTTAATCTGCTGATCATAATTTAATTGGATTGAATAACTCAGTGATTAAGTTGTATTTATTTCTCTTCATTTTACAGTCAAAAAAAGTGAGCTAGAGTGTCTCATAAGACTCTTCTACAGTTTGGTGGGAAGAGCTGGTGGAAGAATTGGTAACATTGGGCTAGATTGTAACACATTTCGAGGAATCCTGTACAGCGTATTTGGAATGACTGATGATATGTTGATGAATAGGGGTAAGAAGTCATAAGAGACTAAAAAGAGCCAATGTGAAATAGCAAACATACACATATTCCATTTTCATGAAAGACTTTGAATTTTTTTAACTGCAAACTAGAAGGCATAATTCCAGAAATGTAGGCTACAAACAATATTGGTTTGATTATGAGGATGGTTTTCAATACAAACTCACTCAGAATTTCATATCTCATACATGTACAGCTTTGAGAAATAACCAGTAGGGCCAGGCACGGTGGCTAATGCCTGTAATCCCAATACTTTGGGAGGCCAAGGCAGGTGGATCACCTGAGGTCAGGAGTTCGAGACCAGCCTGACCAACATGATGAAACCCTGTCTCTACCTAAAATACAAAAATGAGTGAGATGTGGTGGCACACACCTGTAATCCCAGCTACTTGGGAGGCTGAGGCAGAAGAATTGCTTGAGCCCAGGAGGTGGAGGTTGCAGTGAGCCAAGATTGTGCCATTGCACTCCAGCCTGGGTCACAAGAGTGAAACTCCATCTAAAAAAAAAAAGAGAGAGAAATAACCAATAATGAGCTAAGTAAGCTAGCAGTATCTTTCTTTTTTTTTTTTTTTTTTTCAGGCAGTCTCCTTCTGTTGCCCAGCCTGGAGTGCAGTAGTGCAGTCTCAGCTCACTGCAACTTCCACCTCCCAAGTTCAAGCAATTCTCATGCTTCTACCTCCAGAGTAGCTGAGATTACAGGGATGTGCCTGGCTAGTAATAGATTTTTAAGATGTACAATTTGATAAGTTTTGACATGTGTATACCTACTAAACCATCACCACAATCAAAATAATTAACATTCATCATCTCAAAAAGAATAATGTTTTAACTTATTTTTATAGGACAATAAAATTTCCAATTAAAAAAATAATGTGTTATTTTAGTAATTTACTTTTAGATATTGTGCAAACTCTTTAGCACAGAATTTCTAGAATAGAAATAGACACTTTTTTTTTTTAGAATAAACATCACTTCTAATGTGTGGCTAGAATAATTTTAAAAATGAGAAAAAAAAGAATAAACATTATTACATTAACTCCACTGTGTGTCTTCTGGGCTCATAGTAACTGTATAAAACATCACAAATGAAACTCATCATTGCTTATGGAGGAGAATGTCTCCATAAGCAATGATGAGTTATTTTCTTCTTTTCTTTTTTCGTTACCCAGGCTGGAGTGCAATGGCGCGATCTCGGCTCACCGCAACCTCCGCCTCCTGGGTTCAGGCAATTCTCCTGCCTCAGCCTCCTGAGTAGCTGGGATTACAGGCACGCGCCACCATGCTCAGCTAATTTTTTGTATTTTTTTTAGTAGAGATGGGGTTTCACCATGTTGACCAGGATGGTCTCGATCTCTTGACCTCGTGATCCACCCGCCTCGGCCTCCCAAAGTGCTGGGATTATAGCCTTGAGCCACCGCGCCCAGCCCGAGTTCTTTTCTTTAAGAATATGGCGAAAAACACATTTCCAGTAATTTTGATTGTTTCAAGAAGAATGTGTCAAAACTTTTCCCCCTCAATTTGGGAGAAACATTTTTCTATCTATTCATACTTACATACTTTTGAATTACATAATAGCCATAAATTACAATACACTTACACATTCTTTTTCTTTCAGTGTTTTTTGCATTTGACAAAGACAATGATAACTACATAAATATTAAAGAATGGGTTAAAGGATTATCAGTGTTTCTTCGAGGAACTTTTGAAGAAAAGCTGAAGTGTAAGATTTCCATATGTTATTACTGCCTTAGTAATATATAGTCAATTTTGTATTTAGTGAATGCTTAAATGTTTAAAAATACAAAATCAGTGTTCTTTATAGCAGCCTTGCAAAAATAGTTCATGATAGCTTAAAAAAAAAAAAAAACAAGCAGATGAAATGGGTGGCATAATTGTAAGGTCATGGAAGAGTCCCCAGCCCCGGGGCTCTCAAACATTTCCTTCACTGGTTTCGGAATGCCCAAATGTTACCACCAGGTTGGGTCTTCGGCTTCCAACCCATGCCAAGAACAGCAGCTAAGGGTCAGGGCTTGTGCTAACTCTGATCAGCTGGCAAAGCTGAATTTCTAAGGCTGCCTCTGAGGAAACATGTATTATGTAGGGGTAATTCTTTTGTCTTTTCTTTGACATTTATGAATTTTTTAGTTTCTCTGTGTTGTACTTTTTTTCTCCCACTCTAATTTTTCATGAGATAAGATAACTTTTAAATATAGTTTCCAGTTGGGTACAGTGGCTCACTCCTGTAATCCCAGCACTTTGGGAGGCCTGGGTCAATGGATCACTTGAGGTCAGGAGTTCGAGACCAGCCTTGCCAACATGGTGAAACCCCATCTCTATAGAAAATACAAAAAGAAGGCCGGGCGCGGTGGCTCAAGCCTGTAATCCCAGCACTTTGGGAGGCCGAGGCGGGTGGATCACAAGGTCAACAGATCGAGACCATCCTGGTCAACACGGTGAAACCCCGTCTCTACTAAAAATACAAAAAATTAGCTGGGCATGGTGGCGCGTGCCTGTAATCCCAGCTACTCAGGAGGCTGAGGCAGGAGAATTGCCTGAACCCAGGAGGCGGAGGTTGCGGTGAGCCGAGATCGTGCCATTGCACTCCAGCCTGGGTAACAAGAGCGAAACTCCGTCCCAAAGAAAAAAAAAAAAAAAGAAAATACAAAAAGAAGCTGGGCATGGTTGAACATCCCTATAATCGCAGCTATTAGGGAGGCTGAGGCAGGAGAATAGCTTGAACCCAGGAAGCAGAGGTTGCAGTGAGCCAAGATCATACCAGTGCATTCCAGACTGGGCGACAGAGTGAGACTCTTTCAAAAAATAATGAAAATAGATAAATAAATAAATAAAGTTTCCACTTAGGTTTGCTGCAGTGTTTTATACAAAAGTCTCACTGAAGAGTGAAAAGTTGTTTTCTGAATGTAAATTCTTGTGGTAATGCTAATATTTGGTGAAAATGGTCGTGACACTGAATGCAGCTGTACATGGTTGAACAGCCTCCCGTTAGCAAAAAAAATTTCAATAATCTTAGTTCCTAAAAATGTTTCATATACATTTAAAGATATGTTAATTTTGAGAAAATACTACTTTCTGGTCAGGTTGTATTGCAAACTCATATGTATGCTATAGATTGAAGAAATTCAACAGAAAGACCCAACTAATCTGATACTCTCGAGTTTTATTCCTACTTTTGCGAAACCATTTAATTAGAATTACAAACTCCACAAAAACTCCTTCACTGTGGGGCTCCCTTATTCACAAATGACCTGAGTAAGATCATTTGTGGGATGAGTGAGTGAAGTTTGGTACTTACAAAAATCTAAGTCATGGAAAGTATTCTCCAGGAAGAGGTTATTTGATAATTTTGGATAGTGCAGATGGGCAGATCCCAAGGACATTACTGATTCACCATCCAAATATATCCAGAAATGTTCTTCGCCAGGGATATAGTGAAGTGTGTACTTCGTTTTTGCACTCTATGTAAGAAGAGAATCATAATATTGATATAGATACACACGTTTATACATGTATGTGTATATATGTTTGCATGATCAAAGGTTTAAAAACTTTATCTCAAAGCTTCTTGATTGCAGCTTCATATCATTTTTAAACCTTCAATATAAATATCCAGAAATTATTTTTTAATTTTCACATCCTAAGGAATATTTAATCTGATAGAAAAAAAATGTAGTAAAGAGTACTTTATTCTAAAATATCTCTACCATATAATGGATTAAATTAGTAATTGTATGGAATATAAGTTGTTTTTATCTTTTAGTTTTATAAATTGAAATAACTAAAGAGAAGACTAATGACACTTTAACTGCTGTTATCTAAATCTTTTAACTTCTTTTGCTTTAAAAAGTCTGTTTTGAAGTTTATTTGAATGGAGATGGTTACATTTCTCAAGAGCAAATGTTTGACATGTTGAAGAACAGTCTACACCAACAGTCTTCTGAAGAAGATACTGATGAAGTAATAAAAGAACTGGTAGATATAACACTGAAGAAAATGGTAAGAAAACTGCAATGAATTATATTCAATCAAACAGATATTAGATAAAGCTAAGGAAATGATTTCTTTTCTTCCATAATGAATGCATCCTTTATGAGTACAGGAGTTTTTGTTTGTTCTCTGACCTACCTATTGCCTAGAACAATGCCTGGCTGATAGTGTGCTCAATAAATATTTGTAGAATAGCTGGGCACTAAATGAATCACTATATAAAATGGATATTTATTTTATTATTTATAAAAATTTTAGTATCAGTAAAACCTTACTAGTTTCAGGGGAGACCAGATGCAGTGCATCCATGTACAATTGAATGCTACTCTGTTTTGTCTTTATGACCTAACTCCTCCAATCCATCTAAATATTCATTATAATACAATAACATAATAATAAAAATAGTTGACGCCTATAGAGTGCTTTCTAAATGTGAGGCCCTTCAGGAAGCTTTAATGTATGAAACTCATTTTATATTTTATTTTATTTTATTTTGAGACAGAGTCTTACTCTGTCACCTAGGCTGGATCTCAATGGTGTGATCTCAGCTCACTGCAACCTCCGCTTCCTGAGTTCAACTGATTCTTCTGCCCCAGTCTCCTGAGTAACTTAGATTACAGGCATGTGCCACCACACCTGGCTAATTTTTTGTATTTTTAGTAGAGACAGGGTTTCACCATGTTGTCCAGGCTGGTCTCAAACTCCTGACCTTATGATCTGCCCACCTCAGCCTCCCAAAATGCTGGGATTGCAGGTGTGAGCCACCACACCTGGCCATGAATTCATTGTATCCTCATCACAAACTTATTGTCATGGGATTCTTGGGGTATCATTTTGCCAGCCAGAAACTTCTGTGGCTAGTGGCACCTTTGTCTAAGTTTTACTTGGGCCCACTGGACTCATTCCACTGACTCAGCCTGGCAGGCTGTGCCTGGCTTATGCTACTGGCCTGGATCCCATACCTGCCAAGGGTGAGTCAGACAAAGGGTGTGTGAGTGAGTGATCATGGGGTCCAGCCACTGCACACAGCCAGGCACACTGACTGTGGCGGGGTGGGCAGCTCCAGGTGCCAGCACAGGCACTATCTCTCTGTGAGGCTACAGCTGGACCAGGTATACTACAAGCAGCTTCCACAGTTGGCACCAGGGAATGTGGTAGTGGCCAGAAGCTTGGAGATGCCAGGAACTGCAGATCCCCAAAGAGGGTGTCACATCCCTGGCTTGGGGAGCTCCTAGGTCTGGGCTCTCTGAAGAGCCGCAGCTCTTCTCTCCTTCTTTCTTCTCTCCTTGTCACCCATAACATGGTGATCAAGGAGCATGTTTCAACCCTGTTTATAGCTCTTTTAGCCCCACCATTCAGCAAATCCCAAGTTTTTGTCCTGCATCCAAGAAGAATGAGGTACGTGAACAAGTGGAGGGTAAGCAAGGCAAAGAGGAGTTTTACTGAGTAACAGAACAGCTCAGAGGAGACCTGCAGTGGGTAGCTCCTCTCCACAGGCAAGGTGTACCATTGAGTGGAGTGTTCAGCTCTCCGCAGAGGAGAGACCCTGAATTGAGTAGCTCCTCTCCACAAGCAGGTCATCTCCTTGTCTCCTTGAGTCTGGCTGAGTCGGGGTTTTTATGAGCATCAGAGGGGAAGAAGTGTGTGCTGATTGGTCCAATGTTAGTTATGAGCAGCCCAGAAAAACCACCGTAAGTTCCCACTCTGGTCCAGGCCTTCCCCAGCTTGAAGATGGGGCTTAATTGGGGACCTGCCCCTTTAGCCCCAGAGCCTGTCTGCCTCCTGCCGCTGTTCATGGCGCCCAGGTTGTTTGTGCCAAGGGGTGCCTACAAGCCAGCGCTGAGCTGCCTTCAGCACCCTCTCAGCCTCCCTCCAATGCTAGTGTCCAAAGTCCAGAGGGGCCAAGTCTGCAGGGAGAGTCCAGGAAGTGGCAGCAGACACTCACAAGCCTGCAGAGTAGGCACGGGGAGCAGGCACCTCCAAGCCTGTGGAGGGAAGGGGGCCCTTCCCAGTCTCCCAGGAGTGCAGAGATGCCTGGATCTGCAGCTGTGGCTTGGGTGGCTACAGCTGTGCCCAGGAGGGTGGGGCTCCTGCCTGCTACGTGGAGTGCATAGCCCCAGCCACGCCTCCTTGCTGCAGTTGGCACCTTTGCAGTGGCTGCTCCAGATGGACCCCTGTTGCCATTACTATGAGGTAGAAACTATTATCTCCATTTTGCAAATGAGAAAACTGAAATACAGAAAGCTTTACCCAAGGTAACCCTAGAAAATGAGGTGCATAATTCATCTCTCAATAAAACCCAAGGTAATTCTTGGCTGAGTGCAGTGGCTCATGCCTTTCATTCCCAGCACTTTGGAAGGCTGAGATGGGCAGATCACTTGAGGTTAGGAGTTCAAGACCAGCCTGGCCAACATGGTGAAACCCCATCTCTACTGAAAATATAAAAATTAGCCAGGCGTGGTGGTGTGCACCTGTAATCCCAGCTTGAACCCAGGAAATGGAGGTTGCAATGAGCCGGGATCATGCTACTGCACTCCAGACTGGGTGATGGAATGAGACCCTGTCTCAAAAAAAAAAAAAAAAAAAAAAAAAAAAAGTTTAAGGTAATTATTTTACTATGGTCATGGTGATTTCTACCCTATTTCTTTGATCCTAAGCTGGTTACCAGTGAGGTTTTGTGAATCTAAGGCAGCCCAGGCCCAGTTCACCTATATTACCTTGGAGTTCAGGAAAGAAACAGGTGGTGGGAGGTTTTGGAGTCTCAGATCTAGCTAATGCAGTCTCCAAAGTGTCCTCTTCTTTTGGAAATACAGTCACTAGGCCTGTTAAGGCTGAGGGTAGATTCATTCTTGAGAGACAGTATGCTCCCAGTACTACACACACCCTTTTTTGGGTATCAATTTATTTTTTATTTTTAATTTTTGTGGGTACATAGTAGGTGTATATATTTATGGGGTATATGAGATACTTTGATATAGGCATGTAATGTATAATAATCACATCATGGTAAATAGGGTATCCATTCTCTCAAGCATTTATCCTTTGTGTTACAAACAATCCAGTTACACTCTTTTAGTTATTAATATTATGTTTTTTCTCTTTTTGAGAAGGAGTGTCACTCTGTTGCCCAGGCTGGAGTGCAATGGTGTCATCCTGGCTCACTGCAATCTCCGCCTGCCAGGTTCAAGGGATTCTCCTGCCTTAGCCTCCCTAGTAGTTGGGATCACAGGTGCCAAAAATTAGATGTCGAGCTTAATTTTTGTATTCTTAGTAGAGATAGGGTTTCATCATGTTGGCCAGGCTGGTCTCGAACTTCTGACCACAAGTGATCCATCCACCTTGACCTTCCAAAGTGCTAGGATTACAGATGTGAGCCACTGTGCCTGCCTCTTTTATTTTTAATATGTACAATGAAATGATTATTGACTATGGTCACCCTGTTGTGCTATCAAATACTAGGTCCTCTTCATTCTTCCCATTTTTGTACCTATTAACCATCCCCCCCACCCCACCCCCACACCTCTACTACCCTTTCCAGCCTCTGGTAACCAACCATCATTCTACTCTCTATGTCCATGAGAACAATTGTTTTAATTTTAACTTCCACAAATAATTGAGAACATGTGAAGTTTCTCTTTCTGTGTCTGGCTTATTTCACTTAACATAATGGCTTATAGTTCCATCCATGTTGTTGCAAACAACAGGATCTCATTCTTTTTCATCGTGCCCAGGCGGCACGATCTCGGCTCAAGGCAGCCTCTGCCTCCCCGGTTCAAGCAGTTCTCCTGCCTCAGCCTCCTGAGTCGCTGGGATTACAGGCGCCCGCTACCACACCCAGCTAATTTTTGTTTTTTTATTAGAGATGGGGTTTTACCATGTTGGCCAGGCTGGTCTCTAATCCCTGACCTCAGGTGATCTGCCCACCTCAGCCTCCCAAAGTGCTGGGATTACAGGGTTGAGCCACCGCACCCAGCCACATTTTTTTTAATCCATTCACCTGTTGATAGGCACATTGTTTCCTAAAAGTCTTGGCTATTTTGAGTGTTACTGCAATAAGCATGGGAGTGCAGCTGTCTCTTTGATATCCTGATTTCTTTTAGATACATACTAAGCAATGGGATTGGTGGATCATATAGTAGCTCTATTTTTAATTAGTTTTTTGAGACAAGGTCTCACTCTGTCACCAGGCTAGAGTGCAGTGGCATGATCACAACTTACTGCAGTCTTGACCTCCTGTGCTCAAGCAGTCCTGCTGCCTCAGCCTTTCAAGTAGCTGGGACTACAGGCATGTGCCACCATACCCAGCTAATTTTTTTAATTTCTTTTTTTAGAGACAGAGTCTTACTATGTTGTCCAGGCTGGTCTTGAACTTCTAGATTCAAGCGATCTTCCTGCCTCTGCCTCCAAAATTGCTAGGTTTGATGTGATCCATCATGTCCAGTTTTGAGGAACCTCCAAACTGTTCTCCATGGTTGTTGTACTAATTTAACTTCCCACCTACAGCTTACGAGGGTTCCCTTTTCTCCACATCCCTGGTAGCATTTGTTATTGCCTGATTTTGGGATATAAGCCATTTTAATTGGGGTGAAATGATATCTCATTGTAGTTTTGATTTGCATTTCTCTGATGATCAATGAATGTTGAGTACCATTTCATATACCTGTTTGACATTTCTACATTTTCTTTTGAGAAATGTCAGGTCTTCTGCCCATTTTTAAATTTTATTATTAGATTTTTTCCTGTAGAGTTGTTTGAACTCCTTATATATTCTGGTTATTAATCCCTTGTCAGATGGATACATTGCAAATATTAATATTTTCTCCCATTCTATGGGTTTTCTCTTCACTTTGTTGATTTGCTGTGCAGAAGCTTTTGAACTTGATGTGATCCAATTTGTCCACTTTTGCTTTGGTTGCCTGTGCTTGTGAGAAATCTTCACCCAGACCAACCAATGTCCTGGAGAGTTTCTCTGATGTTTTCTTGTAGTAGTTTCATAGTTTGAGGTCTTACATTTATGTCTTTGATCAACTTTGACTTAATTTTTGTATATGGTGAGAGGTACGGGTATAGTTTCATTCTTCTGCATATGGATATCTAGTTTTCCCAACACCCTTTACTGAAGAGACTGTCTTTTCCCTAACGTGTTCTTGATACCTTTGCCAAAAATGAGTTCACTGTAGATGTAAAGATTTGTTTGTGAGTTTTCTGTTCTGTTCCATTGCTCTATGTGTGTATTTTTATGCCAGTACCATGCTGTTTTGGTTACTATTGCCCTGTAGTATAATTTGAAGTTAGGTAACATGATTCTACCAGTTTTGTTCTTTTTGTTCAGGATAGCTTTGGTTATTCTGGGTCTTTTGTGGTTCCATATAAATTTTAGTATTGTTTTTTCTATTTCTGTGAAGAAGATTACATTGAATTTGTAGATTGCTTTGGGCAGTATGGACATTTTAACAATATTGATTCTTCCAGTTCATGAACATGGTATATCTTTTCATTTTTTTGGGTTTCCTCTTCAATGTCTTTCATTAGTATCTTATAGTTTTCACTGTAGAACTCTTTTATTTCTTAAGTTAATTCCTAGGTATTTAATGTTATGTATACCTATTGTAAATGGGATTACTTTTCCTCTTTTGCAGAATGTTGACATATAGAAATGCTACTGATTTTTGCTATGTTGAAATGCTATGTTGATTTTGTATACCACAACATTACTGAATTTGTCAGTTCTAGTGTTTTTTGGTGTAGTCTTTAGGTTTTTTCAAATGTAAGATTATATCATTTACAAACAAGGATAATTTGATTTATTCCTTTCTAATTTGGATCCCCTTTATTTCTCTCTTCTCTAATTGCTAGCTAGGACCTCTCCTTTGAAAGAAAATTAATGGAGTAAATTTTTACAATTACTCAAATTTTTCTATAGGTTAGACTCTCAGCAGCCCTGATGTAATTATGCCCATAAGTGAAAAAACAAGAACCTGTTGAAACCAATTCAATTAAGCGCTTAAAGGCATTCATGATCTCTACACATGCTATGTTTACTCCCTACTCCTATACAACGTATTTAATCGCTCATGATCCCTGTCATGAATGCTTCACTCCAGGCAGCTTTGTCTTCTTAATTTATACTCATTTGCTCTCTTAATTCGGGTGGGCCACTCTTCTGCACTTCCTCCTCATACCTCTCTGCCTATCCAGATCCCAGCATTCCTTAAAGGTTCAGTAGTGGTTTCCAAGTCTTCTTCAGAACTGTTACTGCCATAACTCCCAGTGCCTTGCTCCTTAACAGAGCAACTTCACTGTTACCCTTTTTACCTGGTGGGCTCCCAAGTAAGAGATCCTTTGTGGAGCAAATTCTACAAAAAAAATAAGCTTGAAAATCATTACCCTATTGTACTTATTTTTATCATAAAGTAGCCATATAATAATGAACTTCCCTCCTGAGATGTTTAATCGGTGTTAGATTAAAAAAAAAAAAAAGAAAGAAAAAAAATAATGAACTTCCCCTAATTTTTATCTTATTTCTCCAATTAGAGTGTAAGTGTTTTAGGAGCAGGGCTACATTTTATATATCTAAAGTGACTCAGGTATGCCTATTAGAATAATAAAAATAAAATAAGGGGACTCTGTAAATAATTTTTGATTTATGTAGACAGTCTACAGAAGTGTGACAAGTTTTACTTGGTAAAATTTTTTTAGTCTAGAGAGCTATTTTCCATGCAAAATTTAAAACAAGCATTTATCAAGAAATATCTCCTCTCTAGGATTATGACAGTGATGGCAAGATATCTCTTGCAGACTTTGAAAAAGCAGTAAGAGAAGACAGACTTCTATTGGAGGTGTTTGGACCATGTTTACCAGAAGCAAAGGTATAGTTACTAGTGCCAACAGCCCAAATAGATTCAGGAAAAATTTTAAAGGGTCAGAAAGTAATACTTGCTAGACACTCTCCTCTGTTGAGCTGCAGCCCACTGCTGAAATTAGGGCAATCATTGAGAGTTTAGCCCCATCCTGGCATTTGGGCCCCAAGAAAACATTCATGATTATTTCAGTAACTATATTCAAGACTTTCATTGAGCTTTTAACCTCTTTAGCAACACGCAATTCCTGTTTCCTGTAAGTATGGTGTATTTCCCAAACCAAATCTAGGGTATATTGGCTTAAGGGCTAGAACACTGAATGAAGAGTTTCAGCAAGTATACCACAAACTACTAGAACACTTGATCCCTTTCAACCCAATTGCTGTCAATGTTTTTAAAATTTTGGAGACATAGAGTACTTTGTGCTTATGAAAGTTTTTCATGTATGCATCTGACAAAAGTTTCCTGAGCTGCAAGTGTCAGTCTAATAATTGATTTGGCCTTAACATATTCTTCCTTTATCAACTGTACTTTTCAAACACTGGTATACAAAAGCACTTTTTTTTTTCTTTTTTGAGACAGAGTCTCCCTCTGTTGCCCATACTGGAGTGCAGTGTTGCAATCTCAGCTCACTGCGACCTCTGCTTCCTGGGTTCAAACGATTCTCATGCCTCAGCCTCTTGAGTAGCTGGGATTATAGGCATTTACCGTCACGCCTGGCTACTTTTTGTATTTTTTATAGATATGGGGTTTTCGTCATGTTGGCCAGGCTGGTCTCGAATGCTTGACCTCAAGTGATCCTCCCACCTTGACCTCCCAAAGTGCTGGGATTACAGGCGTGAGCCACCATGCCTGAAATAATAACCTATATGGAAATTTTGTAAATTAACTTGCATGTTATTAAGCTATTCTTATCCATCTCAACTCATCTATTTGTCCCCCTGTGGTTTATTCCCTCTACCCCACATTTTAACTTTCTGGAAACGTGGTAAAAAGCAATGTGTGAAAGGCAGGCTTCCAATCTGAAAAGAGATGAGTGAAAACAGTATATAGCATAATGGACTAGATGAGAGTAACAACTTAGGATGGAACAGCCGACAGTTCTTCAGCTGCTCCCGGAGTTCATGTGTAGCCCAGTTATCTAGAGCTTTACTATTCAAAGCATGGTCTGTGCACCAGGAGCACTAGCAGCACCTAGGAACTTGGAAAAAATGCAGAATCCCAGGCCCCATCCAAAACCAACTGAACTTGAATCTTTTTGTTTTGCTGCTTGATACCACAAAGGTTTCTTTCTCCCCTAATGATTAATTATGTTGGTGGTGATGAGGAGTGCTGACTTACACAAGGTCACAAGACTTATCAGGAACCCATTCAGAAGCACATGACCCATTTAGCAGCACCTCTCCTTAAGTGTCAGATAACTTTTGTCATGCAACAAATCTCTAGAGCTCTTTTCATCTTCCAAAACTGAAATTCTATACCTACTAAATAATAACTCCTCATTTTCCCTCCCCACAACCCCTGGCCACCACCACTAGAATCTGCATTTTAACAAGATGCTGAGGTAGAGATCATAACAACTTATTTATAGTCTGAGAGGCCTAAGCAGACAGCAATTTGCTCTTCCAATTCTATGCTTAGGTCTCTAATATATCTTTTATCTTGAGATTTCAGCAAAAACTATATCTAATATACCTCACATGGAAGTAGGGCCTACCCTCCTTATCTGCAGCTTGCTGTTAGTACCATTTTCCACTTAGAGCCATCCTAGGAAATTTGGTCAGTACATCATAGCTGAAATGGAACCTTATTAACTGATATGTTCAAATTCAATCTACTAGGCAAGAGGCCATTAAAGATAGGGAGAAATGAAAACAACATGCCACGGTATGGACCTTCTCAAGTTATTTTTATCAGTAAAGAAAATGGCCAGGTGTAGTGCATCACGCCTGCAATCCCAGTACTTTGGGAGGCCGAGGTGGGTGGATCACTTGAGCCCAGGAGTTCAGTACCTGTCTGGGTAACACAGTGAGACCTTGTCTCTACTAAAAATAAAAAAAGAAAAATAGAGACAGCCTAGATGTGCTGAAATTTCCAATTATGTGATCCACTGACAGGAAAAAGTGTGGATATGCCACAAGAAGTAACAGAAGTCTAGAATTCACAAATACTGATTTATTTTTGTATTGCCACAGGTCAAGCAAATTCTTAAAAGTTAACTAAAGCATGTAAGCTTCTAATTTCAGCTTTGTTCTAATAGTTAATCTACTTTTTACTTCACAGAATTGTCTTGATTTTGAAACCCTGGCATTCGGAAACATCCTGACTTCTAGTATTTCAATGACTCATTCAATAATTGTATTATAATCAGAAACAGATCCTGGTTGCCTATCTTTATTTATATTGTAAAGTTTCCATTTGCTTCAATTAATTTACATATAATTACTGCATATGAGAGGCAATGTTATAATGACAAGAATAGTTTGCAACATTAAATATGGATCAAAAAAAGAAGAAATGACTTTAGACAAATAGCTTGAATGAAATTACAAAGAAGAGTGCATTAAAAAATACCAGCAGTAAAATCTCTTGATGAACTAAAATAACAGGCTAAAGATAAAAAATAAATGCTCTTTCCAGAAAATACTAATTTGCTGCTGGTACTCTATATTCTTCTTCTTTGTTTTAGTGGATGACTTGTATGCACATCTTCTGACTTGTCCTCCGGAAGCTTTGGCACAGATGAAATTACCTAATTAAAGAAAAAAAAGAACCATTAAAACTTAGTTTCTATAGTGCAGGAGTAAAGAAGCTATTAGAAGAGGTAAGATTATATCCAATAGTTTAATCCTTGACATCACTTTTGAGGCAGAGTTGGCCTATGTTCAAGTTACAGCCTATGATCTAGGCACAGAATGAAGTTTTCTGTTCAAACACTGATGAGAGTAAAATTTCTAAAGCTATTTAAAAAGAAAAAAGAAATTGGAGGAAGAAAAGTGAACATATGCTCTACTTTAACATTACTTTATAGATCTAAAGTCACTTGTTATTTTACAGATACAGATAGATATCCTGGTTTTGCATTCTTGAAACACTGATAGATTTGATAGATTTGGGGGGAATGAAACATTTAGAGAAATGAGCAGAAAGCAGTATAATCCTCAATTTCCTAGGTGAAAAAGGAAAAGCAAACACACCATCAGAAAAAGAGTGTACAAAGAGCGTACAGTAAGTCAAAACAGAGTAAAAGAGTCTTCATTTGAAATGGAAAATTATTAGAAACTATAGTAAATTTTATTTAATATTACTTTTTTGTTGTTCTGTTTCTAGAAGGACCTAGATTTTGGACCTCACACGTTTTTCTTGAAAATGTAATCAGCTGTGGCTGAGACAGCTGTGTATATATGTCTATGCCTCAGTTCAGCCATAACTGAAGGAAGGATAACAGCACAAAACTGAAAACCTTTTTTTTTTTTTTTTTGAGACAGGGTCTCACACTGTCATCCAGGCTGAAGTGCAGTGGCATGATCTTGGCTCACTGCAACCTCTGCCTCCCAGGCTCAAGTGATCCTTCCACCTCAGCCTCCCAAGTAGCTGGGACTACAAGAGTGTACCACCATGCCTGGCTAATTTTTGTATATTTTTGGTAGAGATAGGGTTTCACCATGTTGGTCAGGCTGGTCTTGGACTCCTGGGCTTAAGCAACCTGCTCGCCTCAGCCTCCCAAAGTGCTGAGATTATTGGTGTAAGCCACTGTGCCCAGCCTAAACTGAAAAACTAAAGGCTTCAGCACAAAAACTGTGTCCATGGATTTTAATTATTATTAAATAATGCCTCTTTAATCAGATAATTAATTTTTAGGTAAAAAAATGTACATACAAGAAATTACACTACCTTAGCCTCCCTTAATCACATTGTAAAACATAGTAGAACTGTGAAAAGCACTTTCTGCATCTTGAGTAAGTGTAAGAGAATGTCATAACCCTCAGTTTATGATGTGTAACAGCAGCTCCTACTCCCACCCCACAAAAAGGTGTCTTTCAAAAGCTAACTCAAATGTTAACTTTATTTGTGCTTAGGAAATGGAAAATGATTATGTAAATGACATTAAAAAAAAAAGACTACCTAGGCAGCACAATCTGGTCCTAATCATTTAAGAAGTCTACATTTGAAATGCATACCTGGAGGCCCAATTTTGAGAAATCTCATCACCTTCTATTGCTTTTTATCACAAAAGCAAATTAAGCATTTTGAATTTTATATAAACTGTAATAACTCTAAATTTGAGAGAAATAATTTATAATACTTTTCCTTCTTAACTCTGGCTCATATTAGAACTATCTGGGGAGATTTTAACAAAAATGGCAGACCTGGGCTCCACTCTTACAGATTGATTTAAGTGGCTGAAACCACTGCTTTAATATTTTGTATCTACAGTGACATAAAATGTTTTTTCATTGTTTAAGCAAGTATTAACAGTATCAAAGCAAATAAAATGTTAGCCAAATTCGGTTATTTCAACAGAGAACTGTAGAAAAACACGTCAAAAAACTAAAAGGTGAAAAAAAAATTACTATTGTTCCCACAAATAATTCTCCATTTATTTAGTCCTGTAACCAAATCGTCTCTTAGAACAGTTTTTTTAAAAATAATCTTACCTCTTTAAGTTTATTCCGAATTAAATTTGCTGTTGTATTCAGTGAGTCATCATGCATATCCACTTTAGATATGTCTGGTAACAGAGGTCCAATCATAACCTCGTTACTACTTGGGTTTGTTTCAAGAAAAGTTCCAAGTTTACGATCATCTTCTCGTCTTCTTTTGCGCTCCTGCAGTTGTGTTGTCCTAGGCATAAATCTGTCAACTGCCTCTGAAGGAATAATAGCCTTTCGTGTACCAGGGCAGTCCATTGAGTTTTTAAAAGGGTTTATCTGTGTTTTCTGCAAAGAGTCATTGTGGTTATAATGCTCCATTGTTTTATCATGGTTTCTACCATCCTTAGAGGAATTTAATGCTCTGTCTACATGCTTCCCAGATGAACACATACATTTTGAGGAGAAATAACATAAAGGCAATTCACAGGAATATGGAAGATAAGGATTTGAGTTCCCTGCAGAAGTGTTCAGAGCAGCTGTACAAAATCCAGACATCTCTGAGTGGAAGTCTTGTCTAAAATCCTCTGTGTCTTTATGCTCCGTAACCAGTTTCTTCTTTGTCACATACTGGTCTTTTTATTCCAATTCAAAAGGTGAGAGAAAGGAAAACAGAAGTCGTTTATTTATTGTTTGCATCATTCAGAATCATATAATTTTAAAAATCACTTAAAAATGGTAACAAATTCTACACCAAAAAATTTCTTGAGAAGGGAATATATTCACGTGGTTTAAAACCTAAAATGGAGGGGCTGGGTGCGGTGGCTCACGCCTGTAATCCCATCACTTTGGGAGGCCGAGGCGGGTGGATCACGAGGTCAAGAGATCGAGACCATCCTGGTCAACATGGTGAAACCCTGTCTCTACTAAAACTACAAAAAATTAGCTGGGCATGGTGGCGCGTGCCTGTAATCCCAGCTACTCAGGAGGCTGAGGCAGGAGAATTGCCTGAACCCAGGAGGCGGAGGTTGCGGTGAGCCAAGATCGCGCCATTGCACTCCAGCCTGGGTAACAAGAGCGAAACTCTGTCTCAAAAAAAAAAAAAAAAAAAAAAACCTAAAATGGATAAAAAGATATGTAGCATCAAGTGTCACCCTTTCCTTGCTCTCCATGGGCCTGGTTTCACCCCATAAGTAAGCGCTATTGTTTTTTATTTATCTGTTCAGTATGCCTTACTTTGCTGCCTTCTTCCTCCCATTCTTTTTCTCCCCACTAAAAAAGATAACCTGTAATATGTACTTCTCTGCACCTCTGTATTTTCCACTTCACTGTAGATCTTACAAAGTTTTTCCATATCATTATATACTATATATATTTTTTTGTTTTGTTTTGTTTTTTGCAATTTCAGAGTTTCCCAGTATCTGGATGTATCATGCTGCTTAGCTTGTGTTAGTTACTAAAGAAAGCAATATGTGTGGCTTACTTCTAGGGCTGGAAGGGGCCTCTTCCCTGGTTTACGCTCTCAAAAGCAGACTACAACATGAGTCGGGTGTGGAAGATGTGGTAAAGATGAAACTGGCTCTCTGTTGATGATTGTTAATGTTAATACATGGGAGTTTTTAGTTTTTAATTTTAATACATTTAGTTTTTCTACCTGTGTGTTTTGAAATTTCATGAATAAAAGTTTTTGAAAAGACCAAATATACAAATAAGTGTAGATGCTAGAATGCTGCAGATAAAATAGAACTTAATTAAAGTGTTCAAGGCCAAAAAAGTCATAGTTTAACAACACTGAATCTAATTCTGAGGGGGCAGGGCAAAAAGGTCTTAAGGGGAAGGGGAGCAAATAATGAAGATAATGCTAGGCCACCACCAACACTGAGATGATTAAAGCAGTTTAAAAATAAGCTCTGGACAGAGTGTCCAAAGCTTGGGTTTTAAGCCTTATTTTTATCCTTAATTTATCTCTAGTAATATAGGCCAGTCACAAACTCTGAGACTTAGTTTCCTCCTCAACAGGAATTAGGACACAGGTCAGATAATGTCAAAGGTCTTCCTCTACACTAATATTTTATAATTTCCTTTCCATTTTTTATTTTTTTATATTTTATAATTTCCTTTGCCACACAAATATACAAGTTTTCCTGGTGCTATTTACATATCTTATAAGTTAGTGTCTACAAATGACTGGGGATTCTCAACAGCTCTCTTGCCAGATTTCTGAGTAAGCTTTCCAAGAGTTTTCCCACTTTATTTCTCTCTACCACTATCTGGTAGAAGGGGCATGTGGGGCATTTACGCTGTTGCTTGGTCAAAAGTAGAACTTCTCCATGATTAGCAGTGACACTTAGTCTGCAAATCACAACTGCTTCTCACTGCATTCTGGTCAAATCCTTAATTCCTTAGCATGGGACACAAGGCCCTTCATGATTCACTTCCTATCCACTATTCTAAACTTATCTCTCACAGAAACCTCTGGGCTTTGATTATATTATGTGAGTTAAAGTTTCTTAAATACATGATGCTCATTTATTCCCCTAAGCATTTAAACATCCTGCCTGGCTTGCCTTTCCATCTTTTCCTCTCCCTTCTAGGTAATGTCTACTTATCCTTCAAAGTTCAGCCACGTGTCACAGACTGTAGGAAGTCTTTTATGAATCAACATTTCTCCCTTCTCAACCCAGATTATGTAGTATGCTGCAGAGAACCCTGTGGTTTACACTTACTGAATACTGTGATGATTTACTTGCCTCTCTTCCCACTAGACTGGGAACTGCATGATGACACACTTGGCAGAGTGCCTGACACACAGGAGGCATTTAGCAATATGCTTTCCATACCTTTATTTTTAGTAGTTCTTACTACATACGCCTTTCGCACTGCTAGTTTTTTCCTAGTTTCTTCAACTGTTTCAAATTCTGGAGCATAGCACACATGAAGCAATCCACCGAAGAAACTCTGTTCATCCATTTTTCTCTTGGCTGTCCTGAATGGAAATACAAGATAGCATAATTTTTTAATCCAGATTTACTTAAAAATGAGAGCTTAACTAGTATACAATACCTGGGGCTAAAGACCAAAGTCCGGCTTTTGCAATGTGTATGTATATATCCTGTGGACTGGGAATTAAAATGCTCTGTTTGTGGATGGTATTCACACCAGCCATCCAGTATGTATTCTTAGAACCGTCTCTTCCCTTTGAACCTCTTGGATTTTTTCCCTAGCCTCTAAACAACTAAGGATCCAGCTGGTTGGCCTGAGGTATGTAAACTGTGGTCATAAAATAGAGCGTTTCTGTGGCCTTGAGTTAGTTCATACCCAATTAAGCTTTTTCAGCACAATGTATTCTGTAATGGGATTTATGCCTTAAAAATCAGATGAAAAATACTATAATCATAATACCTTCAATAACTGAGGAAATACTAAATATATAACAATGAGAAAATAAAAATGTTATTCAGTCAATAAATACTAAACATCTATGATTTGCCAAGTACTACAATAAATAAATTTAACCAGTCCTATATCCAGGGATAATGATCAATACTTGTTGAGATTTTACTATATACCAAGCAATGTCATAAGTGCTTCACTTGAATTAATACCTCACAACAACCCTATAATGAAAGTGAAGCACTAGGACATTATATAACAGCCATGCTCATACTCTCGTTTGAGGAGCAAGGATTCAAATAAGGCATTGCATACTTCAGCTTTTTTGGAGCAGAGGGCTTATGTCAGAAGGCTGGAAAAAACTGAGTCAATTCACAGAAAGGAGTGACAATAGCTAATGCTTACTGTATTCTGACCAGGAGGGACTATGCTAAACCCTTTATATGGATCATCTCATTTCATTGGCATACAATCTCAAGAAGGTCCCTTTACCATATAGATTTTATGGAAGAGGAAAAACAGGTTTAACCTGGTTAAATAACTTGTCCAAGGTCATGAAGCTAGTAACTAGTGGGACTGGGAAAACTTACTCCAAGCCCAACTTTATGTTTTATTTTTTTGAGGCAGGGTCTCACTCTGTTCCCCCAGGCTAAAGTGTAGTGGCCCATAAACGACTCACTGCAACCTATGCCTCCTGGGCTCAACTGATTCTCCCACCTTAGCCTCCCAAGTAGCTGGGACTACAGGCATGCATCAGCATGCCCAGCTTGATTTTTGTATTTTTCGTAGAGGCAGGGTTTCACCATGTTGGCCAGTCTGGTCTTGAACTCCTGGGCTCAAGCAATCTGTCCACCTTGGTCTTCCAAAGTGCTGGGATCAAATTCAACTTTTTTTTTTTTTTTTTTGAGACAGTCACTCTCGCCCAGACTGGAGTGCAGTGATATGATCTCAGTTCACCACAACTTACACTTCCTGGTTTCAAGTGATCCTTGTGTCTCAGTCTTCCCAGTAGCTGGGATTAACAGGCTTGTGCAACCACCCTTGGCTAATTTTTTTATTTAGTAGAGTCAGGGTTTCACCATGTTGCCCAGGCTGGGCTTGAACTCCTGACCTCAGGTGATCCACCTATCTTGACCTCCAAAAGTGCTGGGATTACAGGCGTGAGCCATGTGCCTGGCCTCAAACCCAACTTTTTTTTTTTCTTTTTTTTTTTTGAGACGGAGCCTCGCTTTATAACATAAAAATAGATAAGGCATTGCATACTTCAGCCTTTTTGGACTCTAGGCTGGAGTCCTGTGGCATGATCTTGGCTCACTGCAATCCTCCACCTCCCAGGTTCAAGTGATTCCCATGCCTCAGCCACCTGAATAGCTGGGTCCACACCACCATGCCCAGCTAATTTTGTATTTTTAGTAGAGCTGGGGTTTCTGTCATGTTGGCCAGGCTGGTCTTGAACTCTTGACATCAAGTGATCTGCCTGTCTGAGTCTCCCAAAGTGCTGGGATTACAGGCGTAAACCACCATTCCCTGCCTTCAAACCCAACTTTTAAATCTACCACACCACAGGACATTAAATTGCTAAGCATGGGAATGAGGTGATGGGAACAGTGCTTCAGTAAAGTATACCTTTAAAAAGGCTGGAGGAAGATAAGTGGAATATAGGCTAGATTATGTTGAATGAGGTATGAATGAGGGAAACTTGGGGCCAAAATGATAGAAATATGAATGGAGAAAATGAGTCACTGCTTAACTTGCACATTACCTTGCACTTTGTAAGTTCAAAAATTTAATAAGATAAACTTCAGTAAAGTCTTCTGCCGGGTATTCATCTAGAGCATTGTACTGTTCAATTGGACCATATAAAGCGAATCGCTCAACTAATTCCTTCATGGCTCCCACAGCAGGAACTCCTTGTATTAATAAGTACTGAGATTCCAAATTGATTGTATATACCTGAAAGAAATGCAGAGTCGTTAAACGTATTTCGCAAATAAACCTAGGACGAATCTGCCTCTATTTTTTTTAAACAGCTTTGAAAACAAGAAATAATCTGTTCAACCCAGTCAGCAAAAAACACAAAATAAAGTGTCTGCCATTCCCTCTGCATAAAGAACAGCCCAAGTGAGACGGTACCTAAGGCATATAACAGACTACTTTCAGTCGACATTTTTTTCCAGAAATTGAGTCGGTAGAATTCACCGGGAACAATCACTCAACGAATATTCATTGAGCGCTTACTTTGTGCCAAGTAGTACCGTAAATACAGAAGATCCAATGACTAAAACCAAGCCTTAGTCTCGTGGAGTTGATGTTCTAATAGTTGACCAAAAGGGTCGTGAGAATCTTTGATACCTGACCCAAGCAAGGTTCTTCAGCTCTAAAGAGAGAGGGATCTGACAGCAGCCTTGTCATGCCTTTATTTCTGTAGGCTGGCTATATGGCGCTAGCACTCATATAAAGCTACCGAGGAGAGCGAATGAAACCAAAATCACTTTACCTTGACAGCACGAGGCCGTCGTCCCTCCCGATATTTGGCCCGCGTGTCGCAAACCGCCCGCTGGACGTGGTGTTCAAATACGCTCCCTAACTCTCCGCCGCTTGACGCCATCTTGCCTGCTTTGATCCTCGCAGGGAGGACAACATCCGCCCTGCTGAGCTCCCTTTTACCCAATAAGAGAGCGAGATGGGTCAAGGAGTCCCACGATTGGCTGAAGAATCGACAGCGTCGGCTATCGTTTCCTGCGTGAGAGGATTTAATGAACGAGTTGCCGCCCCCGAGCGGCGCGGTGGAGAGGTTCGGTGAGTGATAGAAGCTTGCTTGTCCCACCTAATACAGGCTTGCGACGAGACGCGCAGCGGGGAGAGGGGGCGGGGCCGATCGATCTCCTCCGGCTCCGACGCCCTGGGCCTGCCAGGTCCCGGGTCCGCTGCGGCGCTAGGGTGGGCGAACCCAGAACGACGCTTAGGAACGATGTGGGGCAGCGATCGTCTGGCGGGTGCTGGGCGAGGCGGGGCGGCAGTGACTGTGGTCTTCACCAACGCTCGCGACTGCTTTCTCCACCTGCCGCGGCGTCTCGTGGCCCAGCTGCACCTGCTGCAGGTAACGTGCCGGCCCCGGCCACCTGGTCTTCAGCCTGGGGTCGGACTAGGCCGAAGCCTCTCTGGGAAGCGGCGGGACGCCAGCTGCCTTTCGGGCGCCTCCGAAGCGCGCAGAGGTCAGACTGAGGGTCCCTCTAGGGCAGGGCCCCTCTGAGTAGTCTCTGCGTCCCACAAGTCCTGGGCAACCCTGGGCTTGTCTTATCCCAGGTCTTTTCACTTGGTGAAACTGGGCCTAGAAACATCCCAACATTCTACCATTGTTTTTAGAAATATTTCTTATTCCAGGTTGGAAAATCTCCAGAGAAGTCTTTTGTTTTTATAATTTTAAAAGGTGTTTTTCTTGCCAGCCATTTCCAGTTACCTGCGCTGCTGCCGTCCCGGCTGCGAAAGGGAGGCGGAGAGTTATTGCCTGAGCCCGGGTAGATTCCCGGGGACTGACCACCGCGTCCCATAAGCGGGAAAGGTTAATACAATGATGGCTCTGCGCGGCATCGCTGACCCTTGGAACACAGCTGTGGTGTGTCAGGAACACGTAACGTAGTTAGGATCACTTGAAGCTCTGAGATCAGTCGCCCTTCTGGACGTTGTGGTAGGGAAGTTTCACAGTTGTAACCACTAGTGGAGATACAGCGTCCCTATTTTCGTAATTAAAAATAGAGGCACGTGATATCAAGAATTTGAGTGTGCTTATGGGGGCAAAAGGTTAGCTTATTTGAAGTTCTCATTGTAAGGTTAGCCGAGAGGAAAGGAGAATAGACCCAAAGTCAGGCAAGCAAGTTTTATTCACCTGCCAGGCTGCCGGTAACAATGAGAGGAGGCAGCCCGGAGCTCAGAAAATGAGGAGCTTTTATGGGGTGAGAGGGGCTTAAGAGAGTTTCAGGACTGAGGTAATTTATTAGCTTGTAACAGACGCAGAGATAGTTTGTTAACTTGTGACTGACTTACAATACGTCATCCTGCGAATCCTGTGACTTTTGTGGCCGCAGTTTTTTAAAAAACAGGATTTTACAGGTATGTGTAAAACAGGAATTTACAAGTATGGATAACAAACATTTGTTTTCCCTGTCCTCCCCTGACGTGCCCAGATGGCTATAATCAGGCTTTGCTTAATTGTAGCACCTAGATAGGCGTTCAGAAATGGAAAACAGCTGCAGAGCAATCAGGCTGTGGGGGCCGGGGATGGGGGTGGGGGGTCAGCTTGCACGAAGGGGTTTTCTGAAGCAGCTTGTCCCAAATACTCATAAATCCTGGAGGCATGGTACCCACCAGTGGCTAGTCTATGCAATAATAGTTAAAGAGTTTGCAATAATTTCAAGCATCCCTTCTTTCCTCTTGAG